ACAATTTAGAGATTTCAGAGCAAATACAGTGTCCATAGAATTTTTCTGTCTGAGCATGTGTCTCATTCTTGTACTCTATAATAAGTATTTCCCATACTTATTCATTCAGGTTAACATGATGGTTTTCACAACCATTTTGCAGGATTTGCCTTATGTCTGTCTTATTGAGGAAGAGCTTTGCTAGTATGAAATTTTCTGGGCTTGTGGAAAGCCCTCTAGTGTTTTCCTGTACACCCACAAGTAATTAATATCTAAATTAAGGACTCCTGCTTGGGGCCATCCTCCTCTCCTCTGCCAGCCCATCTGGCTGCCTGTTGGGACTCCCTTGGAGCTTCATTAGCTTGTTACCAACAGGGTAGGAGCCAGGCAGTCTCATCTCCCAACGTCCTATGTTTAGGTGTGGTAGGAAGAAAGTTCTCACATTGCTACCAAAGTCGGAACACAGTTTGGAAAGGTGCTCTCATTCTTTACTCTTCAGGGTTTACAGTTTGGAGGGAGGGGCGCTTCACTCTCTGGACACTGATGGGTCAGGAAGATAGCCTTCTAACATAGGCTCCACACTTGTTCCTCCTTTTATCTGCAAGATTACAGGACTTGTTTCAAGCAAGTCATGTTGGAGAGGGGTAGATTATGTTGTTAAAACCTGTGGCAAATGATATCTGGAATGGCTGTTGGTGTATAGAAAGAAATCTAATAGACCATCTTGTCCATGTTCCAGATTTTACAGGTGAATTTGAAGTTTAGGGACAGGAAGGGACTTTCTCTGAGCTTGTAGCTAGTTAATTCTAACATCGGAAACTGGATTTTTTTCCTGCCTTGGATTCTGCACTACTTCATATGGAGAAACCTGGCACCTACTCTTGAAGTATGTGATCTGGCTCCTTTCAATGGATGATTGATGACTGACCCTTCCCCTGGCCTATTTGTGGTTGGTTTGAATCTTGGCTTTTCCAGCAAAGGGATCTCTACAGCTTCTGCTGCCTCCTGCTAATGATACGACAAATACGTTTTTTAGGCATTTGAGAAAAACATACATTAATTAGACAAATGAAGAAAACAGAAAAATTAATAAATTAGGCATAGTGACACACACCTGTTATCTCAGGTACTCAGAAGGCTGAGATAGGAGACTCACAAGTTCTAAATCAGCCAGGCAACTTAGGAAGATCCTGACTCATAAAATAAAAAGGGGCAGGGAAAAAATACTAAAGGTTTCTGAATTTTAATCAGATTTTTCAGGGGGAGATCCATCCTTTGGCATGAAGCTTGATTCATTATTTCTCCTCCATCATGGTTATTCTGTGTAAATGGTTGTAAGATTTCTCATCAGTATTGGTCTAGGATACTTTATTACTTTAAACACCACTGTTTACCAACAAAATGCTGCTTTTGAAAATTAAATTGTTGTTCTTAGCTATAACAAAATATTGGGTTTTTTTAAGAAAAAGATAAATGTTCAGAATTTTAAAAAATTAAGGAATCAAATTTTTATTCATGGAATGTTACTTTTAAAAAAAATCAACAAAGCTCTTTTAATATTTTAGAGATCAAAATAGCTGAGACCAGAGAAGTTTAGTAAGTGACTTGGGAAATTATGGTTATGTAGTCAGTATAAATACAAGTCATCTAACTTAGTTCAGTTTTACCATTTGTTCCTAGTTCCTGTTTTGTAGACTATGTTTTTATGTCTGATTCTTACTATGTTTGTGTATGATTCATGTGTTTTTACCCTTTTGAGACATGAAAATGGAAACTCGTAGAGGTTAACCACCTGCCCTGGGTAAAGAATGTATGTGTAACAGTTTAAGAGCAGGTCATATTTTAACGCTGCTACACTTCCTAAATGATCTGCATTTATTAATCAACTTACTTATTTTGTCCCAGTGGTAGAGTCTTTCCCTTGTGTTCTTTGTCAGACATTATAGTCAGGGCTTCCCAAGGAAAGTTAGCCCAGCTGAGTGCTATAGCCAATATTTTAAGAAGTCTGGGACCTTAAGTTCTCCAGAGAACACTTTGCTTATCTTGAGCACATTGTTATCTTTGGGAACATATGTTAACACATTTGTGTACTGAGTTACAGTATCTTTTACCTGTGTAGCCTCCCACACAGTGAAACATCTTTAAGATGGAAAGAAACCAAGGTGGATAGATAAGGGCAACTTGTTCATGAAAGATGGTTAAAAGATATTTTAGGAAAACAAAATATTAACTCCAAGTAAATTTGTAAATATTTCTACTTTGAGTTAATTTTTTAAAAAGGATTTTATTTATTTATTTATTTTTTTAGTTCTCAGCAGACACAACATCTTTGTTTGTTTGTGGTGCTGAGGATCGAACCCGGGCTGCACGCATGCCAGGCGAGGGCGCTACCGCTTGAGCCACATCCCCAGCCCCTTGTGTTAATTTTTGATAACTGAAATTTAAGTTGGAATAAATATCAGCTGTTTAAAAATTTTCCAAAATTTTGTTCCTTGTGCTTGTTCATTAATATCTTGTAATTCTCAGAATCTCTCTTGTTTGGATTAAAAATTCCACATTATTACTCAGTTTTCACAAGGAAGATACATGAAATGTCAGTGAACCACATATAGATCCATTGGATTATGTTCCCTTCAGGTATATACCCTGTACTTTTTGTATATACATAATGATGTCTGTCTGACTTTTGTTTTTTTGACATTCTAAACATAATTAAACATTTTAATTGAGGTATTATTTTAAACAGTAACTATTCTAAATTTAAAAATCAGATGCATTTCTTTAGGCTTTTTTAATTCCCTCATTTTACTGGTACTAACAACTTGTCAGTATTTTGGTATTGTGCTGTGATTCATCTTTTTTTTTTTTTTTAAATTAATCCCATTACTCCCAGCCACTACCAAGAATGTGTAAGCTCTGTGAGGACAGGAGAACTGTTAAGGGCTTTGAAGTTGCGGAACTCTGTTTACTGTTGTATTTAAAACACCTCAAATAGTTCATAGCCTGTGATCAGAGTTCAGATGATATCGTTTCAGTGAATTCATGTGAAAATGCTTCCTATGAAAAGTTATTTTAAGTGATCATAGATGTTTTAATACCTGTGTAAATTTGTTCAAGAGACAGATAAACTGATTTTCTTTCAGAAAATTTGGTTCCTTCTCACTTTGTAATGTTTCATCCTTGAAGGTTATTTAGCCAGCTATTCATGGTAGGCAGACACACTAGGATTTTGCTGGGTGTTACCTAGTTTTGGATGATGCAGTGTATCTTTTGCTTATCTGTTTTACATTTCCAGTTTCTTGTGGACAAGATGCCCAAATGACTTAATATTTAAATGGTGATATTTGTATTTCTAATGTATGGAAAAGTATATTCTAAAAATTAATTTTTATGTGGAAATAATTGCAGAGAAACATTGCCCTTGCATTGAGGTCGCTGGTACTCTGTAAGGTTTTGTTTGGTTTGAGGTGATGTGCATGTATATTTTGGCTTAATGTTTTCTTTTAATTTAAGGCTGTAGTGCTTTAGATATCAGAGCTATTTTTTGGTTAAATTATATCCTTCTTGGGGCTGGGGATATAGCTCACTTGGTAGAGTGCTTGCCCAGCATGCACAAGGCCTGGGTTCAGTCCCCAGAACCACCAAACGGGGAAAAAAAAAAATTATGTCTTCCTTTTACTGAAATATTAAAAATGTATGTGCATCATTAACCACTAGCAATATAAAAATCAAAACAAAAAATGCAAGCTGGGGGCTGGGGTGGTCGCTCAGTGGTAGAGCGCTCGCCCAGCATGCATGAGGCACTGGGTTTGATCCTCGGCACCACATAAAAACAAACTAATGTATCCACCTAAAAAAACTAAAAGATAAATAAATAAATATTTTTTTAAAAAAGAAAAATGCAAGTTGGGTTTGATGACATTCCTGGATCCCTAGCTATTTAGCATGGTGAAGCATGAGGATTGCTTGAGTCCAGGAAGTTAAGACCTGCCTGAGAAAGAGTGAGACCCTGTCTCAAAACAACAGCAGCTAAAAATGAGATACCACTTCATACCCACTAGTGTGACTACAATAAAAAAGATGGTTAATGTTGGTCAGGATGAAGAAATTGGAACCCTCATATGTTGCTGGTAAGAATGTAAAAGGAATAAGCAGTGTGGGTACTTCATCAAATGGCTAAATGTATACTTGTCATATGTCCCAACATTTCCCTCTAAGTCAAGAAAATACAAAGATAGGTCCCTATGAAAACTTGTACATGAATATACATAGCAGTATTATTTTCAATAGTTAAAATGTGGACCCAATCCAGATGTCTATCTAATGAATAGATAAACACAATGTTGTATTCCACACAGCAGAATATCATTTGGCAATGAAAGGAAATGAAATATGGATATACTTTACACAAGAATGAGCCTTGAACATTATGCCAGTTGGAAAATCCCTCTGTATGATTCATTTTAAATGTCATGTCCAGAATCAGTAAGCACATTAGTGATTGGTCAGGGCTGGTGGTGGTGGAGGGAGATGGGGAGTGACTACTAATGGTATGATGTTTCTTTCTGGGGTGATGAAAACGTTCTAAATTAGGAAGGGGTGATGGTTGCACATCTAAACAACATTGTGCTCTTAAAATGATGAATTATACACGTGAATTCTTTTTCAGTAAAGTTGTTATTAAAGATGTACATATAGAAATTTGCTTCCACGAGCATAAATTATCTGTGCAGTGTTACACATTAGTTGCTTATGGAAGGGAGAGCTGGATTGGGGGCAAAGGTGGGGAGAGTTTTGTTTTGGTAACTAAATGCCCTTTTGTGTCTGTCAAATTTTGTGCTGTGTGACTGCATCATCTATCTTGCAAATGCATAAAAATTAAATAATAAAAGTATTGATAGCTCCTTTCCTCTTTCGATTTTACTGTAACTAGGTTCTTCAAGGGTTAGATTATCTACACAGTAAGTGCAAGATTATTCATACTGACATAAAGCCGGAAAACATCTTGATGTGTGTGGATGATGCATATGTGAGAAGAATGGCAGCTGAAGCCACTGAGTGGCAGAAAGCAGGTGCTCCTCCTCCTTCAGGGTCTGCAGGTGAGGGAGCTGATTGAGCTGATCTTTCTTCATTTCAGTTGACTTGAGGGCATTTTGAACTTGCAGAGTTGTACACTGAAGGCAGTTGAGTCAAATATGTATATGCAAATTAGGAACTTTTTGTAAGAGCTTGGTTGCTGGAAATAACTGGAACATTTTCTTTAGATGATTTTCCAATTGCATTTTATTTTAATATTTGAATTATTTATCTTTGTGTCCTCCATTAAAAGACCACCTAAATTCTTAACTGTTGCTTCATCTATCTGTATCTGCATTTTCTTGTGTTACCCACTTCTGTAGGGAGGAACATAGTCATGGGAATTTTTTTCTAGCTTAATTTGTTAGAATGCTTCCCTCTCTTCAGTTAACATACCTCTATCAGTCTGAATTTAATTAGAGACTTTGGAATTAGATACGAAAGACCTAAGGGTATAGAGGAAAGATGACCACATGACTTGAGCGTTGGCATATAAAGGTGGCTTCCCCCCACCCCCTCGAATTTCACAGAATTCAGTAATGGTAGTGTTGCCATGCTCTTTTTACATTATCTGTGCCCTGGTGTGTGGTCAGGCAGTTGTACAGGGCTAACACTCCTCTGACTAGGGCTCTGGGGCTCTTACTCCTTCTACTATCTACTCTAAGGGTGTTTTTTTAGATCATGGAACTAACCTGTCAAGTTTTTGCTTCTGGTTAGGGGTCTAATGTGATTTGGAATAATTGTCGCAAATTACTGTGTAGTTACTAATAAAAACTCTGTACTATTTGGCTTAGGTTTTTTTTGTATGAGATTTGCCAAGTGGATTTCGAAAATAAAATGTACATTTTCTCATCTAAATTGTTCATTATCTATAAACCAATTTGGTCTAATGACTATATGATTTGTGAACTCTTCTTCATTTTCTTAAACTGATAGTGGATGCTTGAGATTATTGACTCTTTGAAACTGATTGTCATTTAAGTTTAAATAAATAATAGAAATGACTTAGTATGAACAGCTTTTACTCTGCCCTTTAAGGGTCAGTCATTTGAGTTGAATACATTTTCTTTAGATCCTTACAATAAAGAAGCTCTTGATTTTTAACAGTTTTTGAAGTTGGATAGCCATTAGAAGATTGTAATTAATTCATTTTGCCAGTTTGAATTACCCAAATGTATGTGTCAGTTTTTGTCTAACATCCATTTTGTTTTATATTGTTTTAGTGAGTACGGCTCCACAGCAAAAACCCGTAAGTACTTAAATATATACTTATATTCAGCATGTTAAAAGGAACTATTCACTAAGCTTTTCAAATGATAACAAATGTTCTAATATATATAAACTAAGAAGGTAGACATGTTTATAAATGCTCTGTATCCTTAAATATGTAAAATTCTTTAAGTTGAAGTGATTTCTGCATAGTTAGAGTCATCAAAGCTGTTGTAAGAGCTTCTTCCTATGTACTGTTGGCAGAATCTCCTGAATTGTGAGGTGATGCTTAAGAGTTTGAAGTGTGATTATTCCAAAATCAGTTTATATTACTTCTCATTGGCTTCTCGGTTACTTATTTTTCTGACACTGATATTCTAATTTTTTTTCTTAGACAGTTGTGTAAGTAAGAGAGAGTATTATCCATTTTGTGGTCCTGTCAGAAACACTGTGTTCAATGAAGCAGCCTTCCTTTTAGAAGGAAGTTTCAGTGTAAGGAGGAGCTGTGAGAATTTGGCTTCCAGGCCAGTTGGGGAGCCTGAGTCATTTCCACAGTGTTCTCTTGGTTTGCTGGCTTGAGATCACTAATTCTGTGAAATGTTGGAGGTTCTTAATGCCTGTGCTTTCCAAGTCAGGTGGCCAGAGCTGAAAGCAGGCAAAAACTTAGGGTTTTTGATTTTTCACCCTTTTACTTCATAGGCTCATTTCTTAAAGTTCATGTTGTTTTGTTTGCTGATAACAACTCAGTGTGAGGCAGACTCAGTCAGTGCTATTGTCTACCTGT